ATGCATGGGACAGTACAGAGTTTTTAAGAGTCTCGGGGTCATGTCTTATTTGGTGATGTAAGTGGAACGTAATTTTGTTTGTAGCTTTATTAAAATGCAATTGTTTAAACAAAAATGAATCACATTCGACACCACTGTCCCTCCCAACGAGTGTAATTAATGCAAGACCAGTTAAGAGATTTTCTCTTTTTTTTGCTTTATTCTTAACCCTGCTCCTAAAAAAAAAGATTTTCGCCTCTGGTATGGCTGACGTACTGAGTTACCGTGCTCTTTGGCTTTATTCTTAACCCTGCTCCTGAAGATGCCATTTATGAAAGTGTGCGAAACGGTTCCAACCCGGAAAACGATCATGTATTGATTCCGACCGTGGAAGCCTCCGAAATTATAACTGAACAAGTGTTAAGTTTCAAAAAGAGCAATAAACAACATTTAAATTCGCCATACAATCTTGTGAGATTTTAAACAACAAATAATGCTTATGTGACATTAAAATTGGACATTAAATAATTTATACGATGTAGACATTCATCAACAGAATATTTACAAAACAAAAACTAACGAAGATTTATAAAAACAAAAGATCTGATGTGAAATAAACTTGTGCAGATAAAATATTACGTGAAGTTAAAATTGTAGAGCATGAAGTTTACGTTCAGTTTAAATTATACAACAAAGAAAATGACGAAAGTTAAAATTGTGAGATAGATAAATATTGTAATTATTGTATGAGGTGAAAACTGCAAAGCTAACAAATTTACTTGAGATTAATACTTGCCACACTTTATCAACGGTTCAAACAAAGAGTTTACATCATGTTAAATTATGTCTTGATCCAAGTGATTGGTTACTTAAAACAATTAGCTTTGAGAGTTTATAAATATCGCGAACTGTTTACCCCATTAGCAATCTTGTGTGAAGAATTAAGAAGTTTAATGTAACACTTACGTATTAGCATCCAGAAACTTATTCATAATTAGACAAAGAGTGTTATCCTGACTAAGTGAATTTCATGAAATCTCCTAGTAAGTGCCTATTAAATTGTGTTAGCACCAGTTAACAATTAAAATCCTAACCTAATCGGTGAATTTACTAACAATAAAACAAATTTACCGCACGTGTAGCGTCGGTCGAAAATTAACAACTTTTTGCGATTAAAAAGCCGCACAAATTAGCTGCGCGTACTGAGGAAAACTGTGACGTAGCCGTTACGATTTAGTGTCGTTAAACAAAGGCTTCCTTCCTTTTATTAACTACCAAGCCAACTAATTTAACCTAGCTAACTTACAGCTTCTTTTTCACCATGCCCCCACAAGAAAACAAAACAATAATGACGTTTTCACCATGCTCTCGACATGCCGCCAGCTTATCTACCACTACTGCCCTCTAATTAACAAGCAGAACTACTAACTACCCCGAAGCGCTAACGTGCACACGGTTGCCTATGTTTAACGATTTTTTTTATTGCATTTTTTTTTAAATTCAAATTATCCAAATGTGATTTCGCGCCGTTGTTAATTAATTTCAGCGCGAAAATTTGATTCAAATTCGGTCTCCACAAAATTATGCATTTTCAAATGGAAGAATGAGTGGTCTATATATTATGTAATCTGAAAAAAATATACCATGGAAATAGATAATCAAGCATTTGAATATCGACACTTTGGACGAAACGTCGGTTTTTTCGGAGACTGTGATAATCATGGACAATGCGCCGTCAGATTTACGACTACCTCATGCATATTTTATACTCAGCTATGCAAGTTTATATTTATTAGAAAGCCCGTACAAACTATTACAAAATCACAAAGAAATAAAAGGTCTCTAAATGGTAATATTCAAGTTATTATGATAACGTGGTTCAAATTATAGATCATGGTTGCGGGATCGGTGGCTCTGATCAAGGCGATCGAAGTCTCCTCAGTTTGCAGCGTTATGTTGGATGCTGATTAAACTGAATTGCTGAAACTGCAAACCAAACAAATCACCGAACGCGCGACACTGTACAACAAAGAATTTACAAGATGTTAAATTATGCTAAACTTTGTCAGCAATTTCGAACAACAAGAATTTACAATATGTTAAATTACGCAAATGAAATTCAGCAAATTTACATCGTACACCGGCTCAACAAACATCAAAACAATCAAATGTTAAATGCACTAGAGATCAAAATAAAGTGGGTTTGGTGCGCACCTTACCTTGCATGAATGCCTCATCAATAAAATCTCCAATATCCAATGTGTCACGGATGCACGAAGTTATTAATTTTACTGATGATAGTTCAATCAAAGGTCCTTTTTCTCGAAATGGACTGTAATAACCCAAACATCCCACCTTAAATTGACATGAAAAAAAAATAGAAAAGCCCTCGAAAAATAAAAAAATTTGGCTTTGGCTGTGATCGTTTAACAAAATGGAACCCTACCTTGTGTTAGTTTTTGTGGCGGAATGCGTTCAGATGCAAGTGATGGACCCCAAGGTTGGAAAAGTACCGCTAAATAAAGCACAAAATATATGGAGGACACAAAACGTTTATTCCTCCATTGACAAAAAAAAAAAAGAAAAAAAAACTGCTCTTAGTGCTCAGCTACAAAACTTTATCTAACTTTGACTAAAATCAAATTAAACGTTCTAAATCAATGCAAATATTTGATTAATTACAAATTTAATAAAAACAAAGAAAAATCTGAATTAGTAACTGGATGCAAATACACAAGTTACTACGGGCGTGTCTCGGCAAATTTAAAATTCTGGCAGTCAACAAGAGAACAAAATTTTAATAAAAAAAAACTCTACGCAGAGAAGATTCTAGAACACAGCAAAATTACGCATAGGGAGCGTTGTAGCACGAGCGAAGTTTGGGGCTCCTGGTCATGGCTGTTCTCCCATCACGACGGTGATTCTATTCTATCGGCAAGCACTACCGCACAGCACCTCTCTATCACGAAGAAACGTGCCGTACGAGCAGGCCGTTACGGTCGCAAACTCGTGGTTGGAAATCCCGACTACTGGGACAAGCCGCGAGCGTCACGTCATCCCGACCGCCCTTGACTTCTATTCTAGGTCTGCGTTTTTTGCGCAGATAGGCGCGATAAATCCCGCCAGCTCGACTAGGAACCGCGCCCTTCGCTTCTGCCACGTGTTTCTGTGTCGGTAATTACCTCAATTCCATTTCATGTTCACTTTCAATGACTCTGATATTAAACTACAACTGCACAAGTGTTAAAGTTTCAAAAAGAGCAATAAACAAAATTTAAATTCGCCAAACACTCTCACGAAACTTTTAAATAATAAATAATTCTTATCTGAGATTAAGATTGGACATCAGACAATTTATATGATGAAACATTAATCCATAAAATATTTAGGTACATGAAAAAAAAACTAGCAAAGATATATAAAACAAAAAAACAATCTGGGGTGAAGTAAAACTTGCGCAGATAAAAAGTTACGTGAAGTTAGGAACTGCAGAGCATTAAAATTCACATTCAATTTAAATTATACAACAAAGAAAATTACTACTGAAGTTAATATTGTGAGACAGAAAAAATTGCAAAGCAAAAAAAAATACATGCCACACTTTGTCAACAATTCAAACAAAGAATTTACATGATGTTAAATTATGCCACACTTTATCAACGATACAAACTTGCACATAGTTGCCTATGTTTAACGATTTTCTTAATTTGAATTTTTTTTCAAGTTCAAATTATTCAAATTCGATTTCGCGTCAATGTTTTCTTTTTCAGAGCGAAATTTTAATCCAAATTTGGTCACCACAGGACCAACATTAAGATTAATTTAAATGCCACAAATGAACTATCATAACCTCGAGTGAGAAACTATGAAGTGTGGATAATGTAAAAATAAAATAAGTTGAACCTTGAATTACTGAATTTCCCCCAATGTTTTACGTGAACATTCACATTATTGTTAAATTATACGGAAACCAAACATAAAAATCTAAACATGAATAACGATGAATTTACAAACAATAAAACAAAAATGACAGGTGTTGAAGAATAGTAAAATTTTTAGATTTTTCAAATTCGGAAATCTTTGATAAACTGATATTAAACGAATTACACTCTTTGAAAGACTGTGGCTTTAAATGCGATTCATTGTGTTTAAGCAATTGCCCTTTTATGAAATTATAAACTAAATCTAACTTATCCTTTCTGTTCACAGACACATAACAAAACAAAAAGTGACGCTAGCGCATAAAAAAAAGACGTGAGACCGTTTTTGAATTCTATCTGCCCTCCATTCTTCCTACCCTAAGCAGAGAGTTTTAAAATTACTTTGCACATGCATGGTTGCCTATGTTATTGAATTTCTTGTTATATTATAGCGCGAAACTTAAATTTCAAATCAGGACACCACACGGTTAATGGTTTATCTAAAGTTTACTATCTTTATATCGTATTTTTTCAGTAGGTTTATACAGGGTGTTATTGAAAGGTACGTACAACAAAATGGACAGTTCTTGGCGAAGTCTAAGAAGTCGGAAAAACTTATTTTGTCTTATCAAAATTTTAAGGGGAAAATCAACCCTTATCCAATCTTTTTAGACGCTACTGAAGGATAAATAGGTAAAATTAATTTATTTTAGTAAATCCTAGCAACTATAACAATAAAACTTTTGTCAAGACTAAATGTTGCTATAGAAACGAAAGATGATCTTTTTATCAGAGGCGTACAACGAATTTGGCCATAAATTTTAATAATTTTTATCTCTAAAAGGAGAACACTTTTACCTGAACTTTTTTTAACTTTTAGCACCCATACTTCGAGACCAATTGCCGATTTTATTTTGTACGTACCTTTCAATAACAGGCTGTATTTTGCTTTGCATCGAAACCAAACATATGTGGGTCACATTACAATCGTCCACTTTTAACCACGTACTGTTATCTTGAGAATATTCTTTGCGTGGTTACAGAGAAAGTTTTCCATCTTGTAAGTCTAACTGGGTAAAAATAAAACAAAATTTTCTACATCAAATTTATTAAAGAAGTAAATACAGACTGTGCAGTCAGAAGCAGAAAATAACCTCCCACTGTGTTAACAAAAATAAAATAAAAAATAATTAAATAAAAAAACGACACTACAACCACACGTACGGTATAAATAGGACCATACACTAAAATATACAGGAAATACGACTCAAGTCACCTATTTTATAGAGACAAATATTCCTTAAATTAACAGAGAGTACAGTCGCAAAATTAGAACACAATCAGCTCTACATACGAACTACTAGAGGACATGACAGTCGAGATGAGTATATATGTTTAAAAAATATAAATATAATCAGAGATCTATATTTTCTTAAGGATAACGGACCGAGTGAGATATTTAAAATGTGTGAGCATTTCTACAGACACCGCACCCTAAAGCAAACTCTTCTCCAGTTGGGGGGTGTTTTACGTGAAGTGGGCACTCGTCGCCTTCTAGCTGCTTAGCTTTAGGACCTGAAACGAAAAAATGGTAGAAATCCATAACTTAAAACTAACAAAATAAAACCGCGTCGCGATACATACCTGCTGGACAATTCGGTAGTTCGCTTTTCGATAGGTTGGTAACTCTCTGAAAATCGTCGTGACATGGGTTACAAAAGTGTGTGGTACCAAAACAAAAGAACACAGCAACTGAACAACAATAACGACATTTGTACTCCAGAAAATCAGTGCCGTGTTTGGGGCACATCTGCGCCCTCGCTACATCTGAACAACCACCACAAACTAATTCTGTAGGGTCGTAGTTTTCTCCAACTTCTGCATCGCAGCGAGCCTCGCCGCCGTAGTACGCCTATAAGCGTTAAGTGTGAGGATTTGTCAGTGTGCTTAACTGAGTACTCACCTTGTTACACTTGTAACACACGTAGTATGCGTATCTGTCCATGGCATACGATGCTGGATCGTTGTAAAAACGTGCACCAGGTGTCATTATTGCTTCAACAGTGTGCAAACCTTCATATTCTAGCCTCATTAAAGCTTTTCGTTTGACGTCTTTGTACAGTTCTCGGATTGGTGTGAGCAGTTCATCTAGTGTAGGGTGAATCATTTCATCCTTGAAAGTATAAAAGTTAGAGACGGAAAATAAAATAAATTGAAGGAATTATGTGCTAGATGGTGCGAATGAAACTGCTTACTTTGCAAATGGGGCAAAGTGAAAACGAAAACGTTATCCTTGGACCTGCCCATCGCTTCATTAAAACAGCCTTGCAACAGTGTAAATGGAACACGTGACCACATTTCAACTAAAAAATGTCAACGGTAATAACACGCATCTAGAATAAGTATTAGTTAATGTGGATGGTAAAAAAGGGTTGCTTAGATTTATGTTCAACTGATTTTAACAAAGTTTTGTTTTTTCTAAGCTTCATTACACTTCAAAATCAGAAGAACTCCATACAGGATGTTTCACAACTAATAATGAGCCTGACGAACTTTAAATGCAGCTAACATACCTATTTCACTGATAATGAGATATTTATTATTTTAAAATTCAAACTAAAAATTACCTCATAGCGGTATGATTTCAACTTATCATAAATAAGAAAAACACTTATTTCTGTAGGAATAGAAAGGACTCGGGAGAGGATGGGCTTTGGTCCATTATTTCTAAACAAATTGAAGTTATAGAAATGGTTGATGAGAATCCACAGGTCAGCCAAAGACATATTTCAAGAGGAACTGGAGACATTTTGCCCTCAGTTGACAAAATATAAAAAAAAAATCCACCCATTTCACATCACCTTAGTGCAAAAATTAAGAGTTATAGATGGCCTTTAAAGAAATTAAATCCTAATTTTTATAACAATGTTTGGAATAGTTCAGTAACTTATTAGCCGTTGGATTACTTTTTGTGGGGCAGACTCAAGGAACAGTTTTATAAAACCCCAATACTTAGTGCAGAACATCTAGAAGAGAGTATTCTGTAGAGCTATATCACACCTGAACTTTTAATGAGGGTACAGAAAGGTATCGTATTGGAGAAGGTTTTGAGCTCAATATATTAATTTCGTGTTTATCGACATTTTTAATCCTCCATAATAAATGTTGTAACTCACATTTTTAATTTAGTGCAATTTAACCTAAAAGTTTCTTGAATTAGTACTTTGTCCAAACTTGTAAAATATACAGCTTACTATGTATGTTTCATGTGTAATTTGTTTTTGTGTTAACATCAATGATGTCTCTGAAAAAGTATAGTGTGTTGGGCTTTCAATTTTGTAAGGCTCACTATTTCTCACGAAACACCTTGTATATGTATATATGTACAGGATGATTCACAATAATGAGCCTAAACCGAGTAAAAGATGCAACCAAAAATAACTATTAAACGTTGATTCATTTTGTGGTGTCCCGTTTCGAAATTAAATTTAGGGCTAGAAAAAAAAACTCGCAACCATTTTGAAAACAATTAATGCTTTTTTGTAATGTAGAAACCGGAACGCGTACCGAGGAAGAAGTGGCTCGCCCCTGTGTTGTGGCTGTGGAGTTTTTTGAAAGTTTTTCTTTGGAATTGAAAACCGACCACCGTAAGTACCGTTTTGGGTTTTCTGCCTGCTTGCGTACTGCTTTTGAATCGCCGCCCCCGAGCGAAAAACCGTACCGCAGTCACCGTTTTTTTTCCGTCACCGCAAAAAACCGAAACCGTTGAGCACGCGTCGTTTTCCGCCGCCGAGCTCCGCTACCGGGTCGCCGCCTCCAGGATCAGGAGGAGTCCGTGTCCGACGTTTAATTCTGTTTGTTTATTTTTTTGTACAACCGTTTGCACTTAGTTAATTTTAGCCGTGTAGCTCGTGGCAGGGAATAAAAAGCCGATTATTGTTTAAAAATTTTCCTCCGTTTTATTTCTTGGTACCGCGGGCGTTCACCAGATCACCTGGAGATCCGTGTCTCCGGTTTTAGAACAACCCCGGTGCTCCCCGGCGCCCGAGCACCGCCGCTCCCGACCGAAGGCGCCACTCCCCGGTGGCGTGAATGTGACCGCATAAGCCTAGGTCGGCCAGACGTGTTTCTGTTCAGCGACACTAGTCAGCCCAAGGCTTGGCACTGAGGCACGCCACCCCCACGCGATATCGGCGAAATTCCGGACAGTCACCGGCATTTCGTCGCAGTAGAAACTGTTTTAAAAAATGTAGTGGTTGGTAGTGGCGATCTTTCATTTCTCCACTAGACGGGCAGATAGAATCGGTTAATCGAAGCCAAAAGAGTGTGGTACTCGAGGTCACCGGTGTTTGAAAATTTGTACGTTTATTTTATTGAAAAATCTTAACCAAATGGCATTTTTCCACTTTTGCAGTTGAACATCCACCATTTCAAAACACAATGTAGGGTTCCGTTCTGTTGACACAGCTCATGGCCGATTTTTAAACTTTTAGCGGGTTTTCGAATTTTGTGCGTATGTCTCAATCTTGGTGGATTGTTTAAGTCATCACAGCTTTGAGAGGAAGAACAGTGCAAATTATCATCAGTTAAATTAATATTATCATGCACTAGAAATAGTAGATGTTTTCTATGATTACTTTGTCTTACATGACTATGTTATTTTCTTACATCCGAATTATTTGATCATAGCTTGAATTTGAACATTTATTCTCGAATTATTATTTTGGTTTTAACAGTACTAAATATGTTGTGTTTATTTCATATGTGCTTTGTTTTTTGTGATGTGGGAATTCTCTGGTCCATTTTGTATTCTTGATGTACTAATTTTGATTTTGTCATTAACCTGAATTCATGAATAAAATAATTTTGCTTTTTCCCATTTTTGTTAATAACAAAATTCAGGAGATTTTAACTCTAAATGAACTAAATGCACGGGATGGCTCTTGCCGTTTTCATGTGAAACTGTAATACCGGATTTTCAACCCTAGCGAATCAGTTTGTCTAGTTGGTTGGGTCCTTTGCGGGGATGGAAGTAAGCCTCAGTAATGTGAGTGTTTAAAACGCGTGTTGTGGCTGTGGTTAGGGCAAATAAATATTAACGAGGAGACGCCCTTCGCGCCGCTGTCGCTACGCGTCTTCACGCTACGTAGTTTGGTGGGCACCATTCTGACCAGTTGTTACGTTAATTAATGAAATAAAATTTTGTAAACTTCTAAAGTAATATTTCTGCCAAATTATTCTACGAATCCTTTCAAATGAATTCTAATTTGCGTTTCCAATTCCGTCGGGCTCATTATTACTCATAAATCACTCTGTATTCACCAAAAGTTTACACTCCAAAATCAAAGCAAACATTCTCTGGTAACTTTTTTGTTTTTCCCTTTTTTAAATCACCCTGTCTACATACTTGTATAGCAGGAGCACACGACAGAGCCTCCGTGAAACAAATCATACACATATCATCTGCGTCTTGTCTCAAAGTTGGATCATTTGAGCATCCGTGCAGACATGGAAGACATACTGCTTCTCCAATAATACCACCACACATATGCCCACAGTTCAGCAACTTCGGGCAAGCTGTTCGACCATACTCTTGACATTCGTGATCTGCACAAACATTGCCTATTGCCAATAGACCAGAACTGCCTGTAGCACCACAAAATCTACAAACTCCGCTCATTCCGGCCCCTCTTGTTCTAGACCCTCCATCCCTGTACTCAATCAGAGCCTTCAAAGTTCGCGCATCGGCCAATGCTAATAACCAAAATAGTTTAGTTCGGCCGCAACCTTCATGAAGTTCCACCTTGATAGCCTCTTCTTCTTCCTTACACACCTAGAAAAACAAATTCATATTTTTTAACCAACGAAGAAGAAAATTTACTTGTCTTTGATGATTTCGCGTCTTTCTGTGTAGATGTAAAAAGCGGTCACAATCGGCGCATAAATTGCCACAGGAGTTGCATTGAATCACAGCGTTTGTTTCACCGTCGTCGTGATTGGTGCATGTGGGTCTCGGAGGTGCCGGTTGGCCGTCGGCGTTACTCCACTGACCTGACGATAATCTCTCAACGTGATCCTTATCTAGAACACATAGAGAAGCAAGAGCTAGCCACAGAGTTGGTGTTCTTAGACAAGTCGTTGGAACTCGTTGTTCCTCGCTGAGCTGAGTCAAATGCAAAATATTTTCTGCTATGGCACCCTTGGTGACGTTGGCCCAAGCATCCGAGAGTTTCCCCTATAAAAATCAAAATTACTTAAAAAATTGTCGCCTTCCATTTTTAACCTACAGCCGCCATGTCTTTAATTAGTTGCACGATAACTTCCGCTAATTTCCTATTCACACATCCTCGTAACCACCATCGTTTTCCTAAATTGTCTTTCGGGTGGATGGAAGTGGCTAAAGTGACTGTGTTAATTTCTTTGGGTGCTCCGCCACTTCCACTTTTACTTTTGACTTTGACTTGCACAGTTAATGCTTTAGCAATAACACTTAAAAATACATCTAATACTCCTGGTTTGTACATGTCAAATTTACCACCCCCACAGCCTCTATATGTTGCTGATACTATACTAAAATCTTTAGGAGGGAGACCTGTGATTCCCATTACTTTCCCAAATGCATCGGGTGCTATTTCTGGCAGAATTCTTCGTAAAAGCGACGTTACCTACAAAAGTGTTGTTAGTCTAGTGTTTCACACTAAAGGTGAACTGATTAACCTGTCTTTGAACACGCGCACTACCAGTATGGAGCAAACTGAGTAGATCTCCTAGAAGACCACCTTGGTGAGACAAATATGCTCTGCCCACTGAACTTCCCGATAATGCGAGAACCATGGACAACATTTCAAAGCAGTAAGTGTCTGAATTTTTGGTTACGTCCTGGCTGTAGCCACTGTTTGAAAGACCATTGGCTGAACATAACTGAAGTTCCCATTCGTCACGAACCCTTTCGGTTTCTTTACGTATTGCTTGTACGATGTGAACTATCACCTATTTTATAAACAGGTTATTTTAATTGTACGAAGGACATAAGGAAAAGTAAAATTATGAAAAGTAATAAGTGCTGGCTCCACTATTCTACGGTACAATTTATCTAAATATACTACTACACAGTAGTAGATTTGGCTAAATTTCCATGAAACTTGTCTTGTTTTCCAATAGATTTTTGTATTAATATTGTTTGATTATTTTAAGATTCATCCTCTAATGAGGTTGGTTTCTTTTTCTTAATATATAGTTTTACTTTCGTTAAGTCTCAAGAAAAGATAAATTCTTCTGTAATTGATTTAAAAAGTCATAAAAGTTTTAACAGGTGTATGTCAAATGAGGTTTGTGTACAATAATATTCATCATTCAACGATGAATAAAAAAATTGGTCTATGGTTATTTAGACAGAATTTCTTTGCACTAGAATACTCTAGCCACTGCGCTGGTGAGTGTTAGTGTCCGTTCCGCTTAAAGTGCAAAAGGGTGTATACAATTTGTTTTTTTTTTGCGAAAATCTAGACGCCTTAGAGAAAAATTCAAACAGTACAGGAGTAGGTTAATTTTGTAAGATTTTAGTAGGATTTACCGTGCAACATTTTGAACTGACATCATCAAATTGTTGATGGAGTTAATGAAAAAAATTTAGGTTAGCGCTTTATCACCTACACGTCAATCAATTTTTCCGTGTGATAATTTTGCTGTTCGTAGTTATTTTTACATCCCGGGCATCTTCAACGTTTTTTCGATGTTTCATGGGTCCTAAAAACTGTCGTCTGTGTCCAATTTTATTGGATATAAAGGATGAGTTATTTACTAAGCGCGCGGTCCACGGTCTCTCATTAATTTATTATTAGAGACACAAGAAAAGTCCAACACCAAAGTTGTACGATTCATTCAGGATTATATCTAGTTTCAAATTATTTTTAACTATACATAGTGTTCTGTTTTAAAGGTCTAAGACGTTACTTTTTACTTCCCGAGCGTAAGCAAAGGAAGTATTGTAATCGAGTCCGTCGGCCGACTCTCTACTTTTACGTTTTCTCGATCTTTCATGACCCCTAGAAGACGAAGAAATAGGTCTCCCATTTCCGTCTGTCTGTCCGTCTGTCCGTCCGTCTGTCCGTCTGCCGTCCCGGATTTTTATTAGACAGATAATCTCCGAAAGTACTCGACCGATTGTTGTGAAATTTTGTACTTATATTAAGAATATCATGTAGATGGTAAAACGCTAACCAAAATTTGTCTAATCATCCCCACCACTAATGCGATGACGTCACTTCAAAATTGTACATAGTAAATGGGTTTTCAATTGTATAAAATAACATAGTCCTACACATGTAGTTTACAACTCTGAATCGACTTTTCACCCGAAACGTCCAGATTTTTGGAAAAAAAAATCAAAATCATAAAACAACATTTTGAAATTTAATTTTTAATCTGCTAACCAGAATGCTTTGAAATGTTGCAGATGTTTTAAGGCTATAAAGAGCATCATAAATCTTTAGTCAAAAAATATTTGCTTATCCCCTCCAAAAACTTGATGACGTCAGCTCAAAAGTTTGTGGAATAAATCATATCTAAAATGTACAAAATATGATGAGTCTGTACTTGTGATCTATCACTCCATTCATATTTTTTGGATTTGCATATACAGGGTGACTCAAAAAAATTAATGAATGCGTAAATATATTTTATTGATTTAATCAGGAACTACAAAACCGAATGCTCTGAAATCTTGCAGATGTTTTAAGGTCATAAAGAGCATAATAAATGTTTAGTCAAAATATATTTGCTTATCCCCTCCAAAAACTTGATGACGTCAGCTCGAAAGTTTGCCGAATAAATCATATCTAAAATGTACAAAATATGATGAGCCTGTACTTGTCATTTATCACTCCATTCATATTTTTTGGATTCGCATATACAGTGTGACTCAAAAAAATTAATGAATGCGTAAATATATTTTATTGATTTAATCAGGAACTACAAAACGGAATGCTCTGACATCTTGCACATGTTTTAAGGTTATAAAGAGCATAATAAATGTTTAGTCAAAATATATTTGCTTATCCCCTCCAAAAACTTGATGACGTCAGCTCGAAAATTTGCCGAATAAATCATATCTAAAATGTACAAAATATGATCAGTCTGTACTTGTGATCTATCACTCCATTCATATTTTTTGGATTTGCATATACAGGGTGATTCAAGAAAATAAATGAAAGCGTAAATTTATTTTACTGATTTACTCAGGAACTACAAAACCGAATGCTTCGAAATCTTGAAGATATTTTAAAATTATCATAAGCATGGTAAATTTTTGATCAAAACGTATTTGGTCGTCCCCCTAAAAAATTTATGACGTCACAACAAAATTTTGCTGAATAAATCCTATCTAAAATGTACAAAATATGGTGAGTCCCTTCTTGTGATTTATCATTCCATTCAAATTTTTTCGATTTGCATATACAGGGCGATTCAAAAAAATTAATGAATGCGTAAATTTATTTTATTGATTTAATCAGGAACTACAAAACCGAATGCTTTGAAATCTTGCAGATGTTTTAAGGTTATAAAGAGCATAATAAATTTTTAGTCAAAATATATTTGGTTATCTTCTACAAAAAACTGATGACGTCAGCTCAAAAGTTTGCCGAATAAATCGTATTTAAAATGTACAAAATATGATGAGTCTGTACTTGTGATTTATCATTCCATTCATATTTTTGGATTTGCATATGCAGGGTGACTCAAAAAAATTAATGAAGGCGTAAATTTATTTTATCGATTTAATCAGGAATTACAAAACCGAATGCTTTGAAATCTTGGGAATATTTTAGAGTTATTATAAGCATGGTAAACTTTTGTTCAAAATGTATTTGTTCATCCCTCCTAAAAAAATTGATGACGTCACCCTTAAATTTTGCTGAGAATATAATTCATATATCACATGACCCCATTTCTTCCAATAGGATTTGTTCATGCCCTTAGTAACAGTTACATGTCTATCACAGCGATAATAATTTTACTGCCTTATTGTGGTCTGTTGCTACCTAAATTTAAAAACTGTCAAGTTGACAAATTTTAGAATTTCATAAATTTTTTCGTCTTTTATGGCTTGCCAACGTTGGAGGCAAGCTCAAAACGACGAAATCAATTTTATTATCAAAAAATGTGTTCATTTATTATATTCTCATGTTGAATATAACTCGTGATATGATTAATAATCGAAGATATGGCTCGTGAAACCGAAGCAGCACATTCAACTCGTGCTTCGCACTCGTTAAATCTGCAGCTCGGTTTCACTCGAAATATTATCGATAATAATCATATCACTTGTTATATTATAATTGAATAAATCCTATCTAAAATGCAAAAAATATGATGAGTTTGTACTTGTGATTTATCATTCCATTCATATTTTTTAGATTTTCTTAAAAGGTGGTTCAAAAAAATTAATGAAGTCAATTTATTTTATTGATTAAATTAAAGGCAACACTTATTATTAGTATTACACCCCAACCAACCCAATTTGGTAGACACAAAATTTGTTAAAGGAAAAACTCGGTTGAAACATAAGGGTAGCACGCTTATTTACATCGACTTTAACATTACAGACCTGCATTTGTTTTATGCGCTCACTTGGTTCCGCGAATGTGAAATAGACATGTTTATAATCAACCAATTGTGAATTTCACCGTCAAGAATTAAAATAAAACCCAATGTTTTATATAATAAGCGGAAGTCGAAGCAATAAAACCGATGGCCGTTTTGTTTACAGTTTCTCTGTTCGACTCTCACGCATGCTGTTACGCCTGTCATCTTAAATTAAGAATGTTTATACATACACGATTTTCAGTTGCCTCTGATACGTATACGTGAGTAAATTGTTTCGTTATTTTATTGATAATTACAAATCAATATTCAAAACGACCCAATTCATTTTCCCGAAAATTTGAGAATATAATAATTTTATTCTTAGTATTACACTACATCTATCCCAACTGATATACGTGTCCTTGCAAAAATGTAATGAGAAAAAAAACACAATAGGCATGCAGTCGTCAAGTTTCCGACAGGGAGGGAAGTACTGTCTAAACTCTTTAGACCAATTTTTTTTGAATGAAACATTCTATATATTCTTAGATGTTCTCATTCGCCTCTTCCTAGGCTTTTTAACTAGAGTTTATTTTTGAAATTTCTATGCGACGTTGCCACCTTATTCCAATTTTCTTCAAAAAAAGAAAATAGAGGGTGGATGGGCATAGCTAGTATTTGTTAAAATAAGATTGATTTTGGTAAGTGACTGAGCAATATTAAGAGTAATCACTGGAATGAAGAGGGGGTGGGTGGGCGGGGCTATTGCTTTCTTAAAAAAATCTGTAGGAAAAAGTTAAACTTAACCCGCCCACCCACCCGTTCTCTAATTGTTTTCTTCAGAAGTAAGAAATAAATGTTATAGTAAATAAGTAGTATAACGAAAAAAAATACGATTAACGCTTTTTTTAACAGCCTACGTTCGTTCTATTAGTTCCCATCCATTCTCACTTTACAAAAGAACATATAATTCACCCCGCCCACCCACCCTGCCTCCGTTTCAAGATAAGACTGATTTTGGTAAATGATATACCCTCTAAGAAAATAAACAGTGCATGGGGGGGAGGCTAGTACTTGCTAAGATAAGACTGTTTGTGGCAAACGACATACCTTCTAAGAAAAAGGAGGGCGGGTGGGTGGGGCTAGTATTTGTGAAGATAAAATTAATTTTGGTAAATGACATACCCTCTACAAAAAAAGGGTGAGTGGGCGGGGCTAAATAAGCTAGGACTGAACAAATTAAGAGTAGTCACTGGAACGAAGAAGGGGTGGGTGGGTGGGGCTATTGCTTGCTGATAAAACTAGAAAAAAGCTACATTTAGCCCCGCCCATCTCCTTTCTCCATTTCACTGACTTATTTTATTTAGTCTACAATGGAAATTGAAAAATAATAGTATTGTATTCACAAAATTTTCTGGGAAAATGGAGTGAGCCGTTCCAGCTAATTTAATCACTAAATTAAATTGACTGATTAATTAATTTTTTTGAGTCACCCTGTATAAGCAAATCCAAAAAGTATGAATGGAATAATAAATCACAAATACAGACCCATTATATTTTGTACATTTTACATAGGATTTATTCGCCAAAATTTTGGGCTGACGTCATCAAATTTTTTTTGGGTAGATAAGCAAATATATTTTGATTAAAAAATTATCATGCCTATAAAACATCTGCAAGATTTCAAAGAAATTATGTTGTTTTGAAATTTTGATTTTTTTTCCAAAAAATTTTGGTTAGCGTTTTACCATCTACATTATTATTCCTAATATAAATACAAAATTTGAGAATAATCGGCCCACTACTTTCAGAGATTATCTGTCTAATAAAACTCCGGGACGGCAGACAGACGGACAGACGGAAACGGGGAACGTATTTCCTCTTCTTACTGTAGGGGTCATAAAAGGTCGAGAAAACGTAAAAGTAGAGAGTCGGTAGACGGACTCGATTACAATACTTCCTTTTCTTACGCTCGGGAAATAAAAAACTAAGTTGTGTATTACGCCTTAAAAACGGAACACTGTACAATTAAAATAATTTCAAAGCATATTTTCTTTCTTTCTTCTCATTTTTTTCTATTTCTAATAATTAAATTAAATCAAGTAATGGACTCATTCTTGTGAAATTTTATATGTACAGTTAAACGTGAAAAAAAAGAATATTTTTTTCTTAGCTTACAATACAAAACACGTCTTTTGATGAGTAAATAGGTTAGTTTTTATAAACAGTGAACAAGTGTCAAAAGACATAAGTCAACGGGACAATACACATTTCAAAAATATAGTTTTTCCTGTTTTTTTTTTGCATTTAACGGTATATTAGAAATACGTGTGGATGGTAAAACGCTAACCAAAATTTGTGTGATCATCCCCATCAACAATATGATGACGCCATCTCAAAATTTTAGAGAGTAAGTGCTATTTAAATTTTATAAAATAACATACTCCTGTACGTGTGGTCCATGAACTTACTTAAAATATTTTTTTATTAATCAAATCATTTTCCCGAATATTTAAGGATACACTGACACAGTACTGTTACATAACGTTTAAAAGCTCCCAATGTGACTACATAGTACTATGATTATTATTATCAACTCTTTTTTACTGAAGTTTAAACGTTTAAGTATTTGTATATTGCAGTAACTGTACGAACAAGTCTTAAAGTTGCTAATGATTATAGAGGTCAATTAAATTACGGGAATAAAAATAGAATATAAAAATATACCGTAAACAGTATTAAAGGTTACAATAATGATAAATAACAATAATCGTAGTAAAATAAAACCATCGTTTAATCAAATTTCTTAAAGTTAATGTTCAAATATGTTTATTACTCCACAAAGAAAAAAGCAAAGTTTAAAATATGACAAATTCACTTCAAACTTTTTTTTACTTCCCGAGCGTAAGCCAAGGGTGAATCGGGCGACTCGTTACTTCTTTCTTTTTTTATTAGACAGATAACCTCCGAAACTTCCGGATTGATTAATGATAAATATGCGTTTTAGAATATCGTGTAGATGGTAAAATGCTAACTAAAATTTGGGTAATAATTCCCACCAACAATTTGATGGCGTCACCTCAAAATTGTGTACGTTAAACGTTAAATAAATTACATAAAATAGCATACTCCTACACTTGTGGTTTATGGATCCGCCTTGATTTTTAAACACACTTTATTACAAACATGTTTGACCAATATTTGTCGCCTGTTTCATATAACCGACATCTCACGCACGTAAAGATAAGCAGTTCGTGCCAGGATCATCCAAGGCGCAGAGTTCGAATCCTATTCTCGTCAACATTGTTTTTTAATTTATAGAAGTTCACAAAAAACTAAAATTTTGTCAAAGCAAATTTTATAATTTTTCAAACAGAGGCGATGGAAGTTTTATCGCAATTACCTTTGACCATTTTTTTTTTAAGTTAGTAGCACTGAGGTCGTCCACTGTCAGTGTCAAATTGTTTAAAATTTTCTTGACTACCTACTTTCATATTTTTGTGTAATTATTTTGATAAAAGCCATTTAAATTCAGTTGATATTTTTGAAAAAAATACCTTTACAACACAGAATTATTTTGCTGCCCGTTAAGGGTTATCAACTAAAATGAATTAGATCTGACACTGATTGTCAAGTTTTGGGTGGTATTACTGTCTTCAGTTTGACCCAAATGTCAACATACTCGTAACCTTTGACTAATCATTTTTTGTCGCTGTCTGTTTAGAATTTCTAGAAAAAAAAAATGTATCTTGTAGAACAAAAATTTCTCTTACGTAGCTATTACACGAACGGCGAAAAAATGGGCCATGGAACGCGGTCTTAGTCAATTCTACTGCATTTGTTTATTCATTTTTAACTGGCTTTACAGCCAACTCTAATCCGTTCGTTAAGTGTTAATATCATCCATGGGAAAACAAAACATTCTAACATTGTGTAGTTTTTTTAATTATTTTTATAGAAAAAAATGGAGTTTATGTATCAAACAAAACTACAAAACCGAAGGAACTATGTAAAATAAACACAACGAAGAAAAAGAACCACACTGACCTGTTTTTGCAAGTGCGTTAATTTACTCCGACTAAACAAAATTCCAACCATATGTTCCCTTAAATCGTTGCTCTCTTCCAAGGGTTCCAAACTCTCGCTAGCCGAAACCGAACAGCTATCATTCAAATTCTGACCTTCTTCTCCTTGCAGAAGTTTACCGAATACTTGCGACGTAATCAATCTAAATACTCTGAGTGTTTCGGCTTCACAGTTTCTTTGTTGTATAGTGGCAGCACTGTACTGTTTGCCAACTTTCAAAGATTCACCTTCAATTTTTCCCAGGATGCGAATTTGTCTCACACGCACAGAATTATCAGGACCTTTCAATTCCAACCGTACAACGCTGTCGGTACACTCTGAAATAGACGCTGTTTAAAATAAATGTGTTGAGTATAATAGTTGCAAATGGATACCTGTCAATGGACAGTTCACCCATCCTCCTAACAGCCGAGTTTCCACTTCGACGGTACGTAACTTAATCATTTCATCTGTGTTGGGCCCGGAATAAAAAGTTATACTGGATACCTTATTCTAGGGATACGCAAAATCAAAAAACAACTTGAACGTATTTATGGTTACTTACACCTAAATCGCGACAGTTGTCAATGTGAACACATATTAAAGTAGGATGATGATTTTGGGCGCAAACTACAGTCAGACTTTTGGTTTTATTCCTATCTTCGTCTCCAGATTCCCAAAAAGTTTCGGTGGATCCGTCCGTTAAACTACCGATCATGGCTTGACGACTTGAGGCTTTAATTTCTACAGAAGCTGTGAGATCCTTTAAACATTCCACGGAACAAGTAGCCTGATTTAGAACACTTTGGTGGCTTTCATGCATCGATACCGTGCAATCTTCCATTTCTTCACTACGCGAAAGTATTTTACTTATATTACTAAAAACCTAAAAGGATGCGTTAGAGCAAAAATAGCTACATATTAAGATCTATCTATTACTTGAGATCGATGTAGGAACGAATGGTCAGTAGAGGCAAATCTTAAACCCCAACAACGAACAGCCATTTGCTGAAGGGATGAACCCATCGGCAAAAGAACCATCAAGTCGGCTATAGTTTGCAAGAGAGCGTGAAAAGTGCTTGGCAAGGGATGGACGGCTTCACCGGCTATAGTTATGTCAGACAGCGGATGCTCACATACATTTAAATCCTGGAAGGTAATTTTGTAAAAAGAAACAACAAACTGTGTTGAACCTACCTGATCGTCAATTTTTTTCGAAGGTCGGTTGTCGTCATCAGTTTCCGTTTCAATTTCGGCTGGTGTCAAGGAAGTGACAAACCACCATAGCAAATCATGTAAGCAGATTGGTTGTGTAACGGATTTTAGGAGCCAGTTTAGAGCTTGCATTGCGTACACTCGACACATTGCTTTTCTAAAAAATGTTTCCGTTTATTTCGGGTTGGTTTTTTTAGTGCAAAAAGGTACCTGAGAGCTTGTTTCATTGCGAGCTGCAAAGATTCTAAGTCGTGTTGTTGTAATAAAAACTGCATTACAGGACGTTGTAATAGTGCCAAACCTTCGGTGGGATCAGCTGAATTCGCTTCATTTTTTACTATCGCAGAAGTATCCATTTTTGGTATTAATTTTTGTAGGGCGTTTGAAGGATTACAAAGTAGGGATGAGCCACCTTCTGGAATTTATCGTTTACATGACAATATTATTACAGTTGATTAGAAATACAAACTTTCGTAATTTTTTGGAGAAATTCTTTTAGATTACTTTTAACAAGGCTTTTAAATGAACGCATTTGTCCTGAATTTGAAATTTAAATTTCGCGCTCTGGCAGAAAAAAAACGTGAAACCACATTTGAAAAATTACAAATAAATACAAAAAATCATTTAATAACGTAGGTAATCTTGAAAAAGGCCAGTTTTTGTTTAGTTAGTGCAGTGAAAACATGCGTTAAATTTAAGAATACGTCCAATTAATTTGTAATACAATAAAAAAAGCAATCGTTTAAATACAAATGAATTACATTCGACGCCAAAGTCCGCCGCAACAGCGCAATATCAGTTTAACAGTGATTTTCTAATCTGAAGTGTGTAAAAGTTTGTCTATTCCCTAAATACGTGTAATCTTTGTTTTTATTGTTTATAAATTTGCAAGAATTTATATAAATATGACTCATTTTAATAATTCGAAAATTTATTGATTTGTATTTAATAATTAAATTGTTCTGAACAGGCTTATACAGTAGTTAGTAACGCTGAAAACTGAGGAGAGCTCGATCGGTTTGATCAGAGTCATCGCTCTCGTAACCGTGATCTATGGTTCAGACTTCCGATACAGACTTTGGTTTTGTTGATATTTAAATTTTCCGCCATACCATCGTAATAATAATAATTTGTGTACTTTACAGTTACTTTATTGACGATTCCTTTTTATCTTTGTGTGTTTTTAAATCTGTATGGATGTGTAACATTGACTTCATTTTTGAAAGCTGGAGAGGTCTTATTATTATAATACCCACTTTACGATTGCCAAAATTCAGGAGATTTTCTCTTTTGGACGCTTTCATGTATGTTTATCAGCAATAATGAATTTTTAATCTTCGTGAATGACGCTGTCTAGTTCGTTACGTCCTTTGCGGGGATGGAAGTAAGCGTCAGGAATGCGAATTTTTAAAATCCCTAGCACGTTTTGTGACTGTGGTTAAGGCAAATACAAGGAGACGCCCTTCGAGCCGTTGTCGCTACGCATCCTCACGCTGTATAATTTTCCAATCTTGGGGTTCAACATAACACAATTTCACAATAGTAACACTCGTTGACACACAAAACAACCGTTCTAAACATAAGTTAAATAAATTCTGTGACCAGTTAAACATATCAAAATTAACTAAAATATTTACCGCTACTGCAATTTTACTAATAACAAAGTCATTACAGCTAAGATTGGTCATTTTATTTCGATACGTAATTATGTCAGGATTTCTAGGGCGAACATAATGTTCTAGAAGTAAAAAGTGTCAAAAACTCCGCACAGTTAACTTGATTATTAACAAGGTTTAGGTTTTGAGATCTTTTAGGGATTCCGTCAATTCTCGTCTTTGATTTTACGTTTTATTAAATTTATTTATTATTATATATACATAATATTATTCGTTTGTTGCAGTGCAATAGCAATTATACGTTGTGGTGTCCCAGTTTAAAAATTAAATTTTCTTCTTAAAAAAGCCGCAAAACCGCATTTGAAAAATGAAAAAATTAATACTATAACGTAGGCAACCCCCATTTGAATAATTTGAATTTGAAAAAAAATTTCAATCCAAGACAATCGTTAAACATAGGCAACCATGTGCACGTTAGCGCTTGGGGGTAGTGTGTAATTCTGCTTGAAATTTTAGTTAGAGGGTTGGTTGAAGAGGGCGGCTTGGTAGAGAGGTGAAAGCGCGATTGTTGGTTTGGTTCTCTGTGTGAAACCATGGTGAAAAGACGCGGTAAGTTAGCTGGGTTAAGTTAGTTGGCTTGGTAATTAATAAAAGGAAGCCTTTGTTTAACGACAATTAATCGAAACGACGACGCCGCAGTTTCCCCAGCACGCGATAGCTGATTCTTGCGGCTTTCTAATCGGAAAATGCGAATTTTCACATGTAAATTTGATTCAGTGTTTGTAAATTCACAGTTCATGTTAGGATTTTAATCGTGAACTGGTGCTAACACAATTTAATAGACATTAGATTTATTTAGATAAACACTCACAGGATTTCATGAAATTCATTTATTCAGGACTCGTTTGATTTTGTTTATCTAATTACGAATAACGTTTCTGGATGCTAATACTTAAGTGTTACATTATAACACCTCTTAATTCTTCACACAAGATTGAAAATAGTTCATTTACGGCAGTTAAATTAACTTAACGTTGCCCCACTGTGGAAAAAGACCATAGAAAAGTGCAGCAGAATTCATAATATAATATCGTGGACTGACGGAGGGATTAAAGATTTCTCTCCTTAGACAGTTATCATCGTTATCATCATCACATCACCGAGACGAATTTTCCTCGCAAAAGAAATTGTTTTAAATAACCAATCACTTGGATGATGGCATAATGTAACATATAAATTCTTTGTTTGAATCGTTGATAAAGTGTGGCATAATTGAACATAATGTAAACTCTTTGTTTGAATCGTTGATAGAGTGTGGCAAATATTAATGTCATGTAAATTTATTACCTTTGCAACTTTTCACCTCATGCAATTTTTCTTTGTCTCAAAATTTTAACTTTAGTAATTTTCTTTGTTGTATAATTTAAATTAAACGTGAACTTTCATGCTCTGCACTTTCTAACCTCACGTAATATTTTATCTGCCAAGTTTATTTCACACCAGATTAATGCGTCCATCATATAAATTATCGAATCTTAATCTCAAAAAAGAATTACTTGTTTAAAATTTCACAAGATTGTATGGCGAATTTAAATGTTGTTTATTGCCCTTTTTAAATCTTTGGCGCTTGTTTAGTTGTAGTTTAATGTCAGAGTTATAAGAATTGAACATTTAAATGGAATTGAGGTTATATAACACCGAAATACTTGGCAGAAGCGGAGGGCGCGGTTCCTAGTCGAGCTGGCGGAATTTATCGCGTCATCTGCACAAAGGATGCACGTTTTGTATAGAGGTCAGGGGAACGGTTTGGACGACCTAACACTGTCGGCTTCTACCCCATAGCCGGGACTCAACTGCGAGTTTGCGACCGTAACGGCCTGCTCGTCTAGGCATGTTCTTTGTGCTGGGCGGCAATGCTTGCCGATAGATAGAATCACCGTCGTGGGTAGGAAAACAGCCACGACCAGGAGCTCCAAACTCCCCTCGTGCTACAACGTCCCTTATGGGTATTTTTGCTGTGCTCTAGAATGAAATTGACATAGTTCGATCGCCACACTCTTATAGCGCTTTGGTGCCGCTGCCGCTGCATAGTTTTTTATTAAAATTTTGGTCTCTTGTTGACTGTCATGATTTTAAATTCGCCGCCACACGCCCGTAATAACTTGTGCATTTGCATCCATTTACTTTACTTCAGATTTTGCTTTGTTTTTATTAAATTTGTGATATTCAAATATTTGCATTGATTCAGAACGTTTAACTTGATTTCTTTCCAAGTCATTGAAAGTTTTTTTTTGGAGCTGAGCATTAACGGGTGTAATTTTTTTCCTTTTTTGGTCAAGTGGAGGAATAAATAATTTTTTGTCCTCCATAAATTTGGTGTTTTATTTAGCGGTACTTTTCCAACCTTGGAGTCCACCATTTGCGTCTGAACCCATCTCGCCATTTTTCAAAAACACAATGTACGGTCCCGTTTTGTCAGACGATCACAGCCAAGGCCAAATTTTGAATTTTTGAATTTTTCGCGGGTTTTCAATTTTTTTACATTTCAATTTAAGGCGGGATGTTTGGCTTATCACATCAGATGAGTGTTATTTTCTTATCGCCGATGATTTTCTTACACACTAATTATTATCATCTTGCAGTATGAATTTGAACATATATTCCCGGTTTTAATGTGATGGAGGTCCGATCTACCAAGTACTTCATTTTGATTCGTTGTATTATTAATTTATTTGAACTTGAATCGAGAAAACGCACGATATCCCCGCCAGATGCGGAGGGATGAACCACAAATTCAAAATGAAGATTTTTCTCCTATTGTCATTGTTCATGTGAATGTTTAACTGAAAAAACGGATTTTGCTGACGTAAATCAGGCCGCCTACCTGGCTGCCTCCTTTGCGAGGATGAAAATATAGTTTCTAACTATATAAAAGCAAAATTTGGGCAAACGAAAGTTCATAGACTTGAGTTTCTTTGCTACTTACCATTCGCAATTTCGCTGCTACTGTTGTTTCTTTTCCGCAACATGATGACCCTCCCGTCAAACCCAGTCTTTGACCACGGAATACCATTAGTGCCCATTGAGACCGACCTATGGAACCTCAACCCTTTACTACTATCAGAATCATTATCTGAGATTGACACCTCCGATAACGGCTGCAAAACACATTCTCACTTATTAAATCACCGCATACGCTTTTCCCTCACTCTTTGTCCCGGAGTAACATCGTGTAAATTTTGATGTCTCAAAACTTTTTCATAGAATTCTGGATCAGGTAGCGAATTCGCTCCTAAAGCTTGCAAACACTGAAACGGAGGCACAGGACTGAAAGGTCCTGCGCAATCTGGAGGTGAATTATTCTCAGATACCGATGGCATAACACTCGAAGAAGGCCTTCTTTGGCGACTAATTACCGCGTCAGCCGAACTCGCTAAATCTAAGAGGAACATTGCGTTATTTTTCATGATCACGTGAGGCTCTAAACCTGGAGATGTGGAGGGTGACGATAAAGGTTTAACATACACGTTTTTCCGTCGATTTAGGCTTTTGGTTTTATTCATTTGCTGTTTGCCGCCTCTGTTCATTTTTACGTATTTTTCGCGGCAACCTTCGCACAACAGGTACCACGAACTGTTCGCTAAATAGTTTCATGAGAGATGAGTAATTCTGTTACAGATCAACTTACGTATACCACCATCACCGCAATTTCCAGCCCAGCCTAAGCAGTAGTTGCCACCAGAGTTGTATCCTTTGCCTCCGGCATGTTGGCCACATCCTGGGTGAGCCTGGTGCATGTGGTAGGTGACAGGATGTGGAAACATTTCACCACATAGTTCGCACAAAGTCTCTGAACTAGACGAGTGCAAATAACTCGAGAGACCTATATCTTCTACAAAATAACAAAATATTACAAGATTAATTAAAAGTGCGTCACGAAGTGTACCTAAATAATTCCTAGGTGAGATTTTTTTCTTCCTACTTTTCTTGGTATCTTTTTCAATAGTTGCACACTTATCTTTACTGTCGCTTTTCCCGATTCCCACTTTTTCGCTTTTTTTAATTTTAGCCTGAACCGGGCTTGCCACCACCATTTCGTGGGATATGGCCTGAAGACAATTCGTCGTCAATTCTTCCCAAAGGAAAACAAGTGACTTTAGCGCGGGAGGTAATACCGATATGGTGTGATAACCGTAGCCACCCTCTCCAGTAAATTTTTCTCCGGTTTCTTCATTAATTATAGAACTCGGATATTTGTTAGGCCTTTTACGATTGGCACTCGCATTCGCTGCTGATCGTGTTAGCGACTCTAAAGTGGCTGGTTGGATGTGTAAGTAGGTTCCTGCATTGCTTACTTCTACGGAATGTCTTTGTCTCGCTTTTTCTTCTCGTGAGAGTTCTTGGCGTCTTTTATCGATAGGAACGTCTTGTTGCCGTGTTACGACCAATGCGCCTTGTTTGGGAAGAGTAGGATGAAATTTTAGGAAAGAGGCACATGCCATAGCGTCGTGCACAATTCCTAAGACAAAAAAACAATTTCTAAATTATAATGAAAAATAGATTACACGACATACGAGTATTAAAAAATATAAATCATCTTGAAATTACATTTGTATTAACACTGATGAAAATCCACAAAAAGGACGAATGCAACATTGTTTTCTACCCTGAGGCACTGTTAAATGTTACTTTTTTCAGGATGTCTGTACCGCCATCATGGTGTATCAAAATCAAATTCCAAATAGTTATTCTCAAATGTTATGGTGTCCCGATTTAAAAATTAAATTTCGCGCCGAGGAAAAAATAGCGCCACGAAAGCGCACGAAACGTTTATTATTGGTTATTGGTACGTAATTTAGCACGTCATTTTACCAAAGGGCACTTTCTGTTGACGACACGTGTATTTTGGTTTCACTGTTCACGTTAGGATTTTTAACCGTTCATAGTTCTAACGAAATTTTACGTCAGTAATGTAAATTTTAACGTAGAGCACGTAACAAAAATTAGATATTCAGGCTTAATTTATTTGTATATCATATTAATAATGTGTGTCACAGCTGTTTAATTGAAAGAATAGCGCAAATACCTGGAATTTTTATCCTTCGAATTATATGCTACTAAATTATTTTATATTTTTGATGTCATAAAATTAAGTTATTTGTTTAAATTTTATAATAATTTGTGGATGACTGTTTTAGCATTAGCTTGCAGAGCAGTAGTTGCGTTATTATTCATCAGTGGGTCGGTTACATAATTTTGATATTTTGTATTAATTTATTTAGTGATTATTAATTTTTTTATAATGACCAGTAAATGGAGCTTTCTGTTGGGCAATACATTTTTATTATTATATGTTATTTTCTTACAGCCTTAATTTGAACATTATCATCCGAGCGACGCGTTTCCGGGACTACGTTATTTTGATTTTGATCATATTTAATAAGTGCCTGTTATGTACATTATTACAAAGTAAACCCATATGCCACGCCGGTAGGACGCCTATGGGTTTTCTAGTATGTACGACGAAGAGTGGTGGTAACTCATCATCAGTGACGGCGGATTTTGAATAGAGAAAAGTATGAGATGCCGAAAATCTCAATGGCGGACTCCAGAACAAACTCGAAGACGCCATTCGCGAATTCTCTAGGAGAGAACATGAGTCTCGGGATCGCGTGGCGGAACCAAACTGACGGGCCCGCACCAAAACTTTCATTGTCACTGTTCATGCCAATATTTATCTGCAATACAGGATTCCGTCGGCCGAATCAGACCGCCTAGTTGCTGTCACTTTTGCGAGTGCCAGTCGCACGTCATGTGTTGGTAACAGCTGATTTTCGAAAGCTGGGAAGGTTTTTCAGGTGAAAAAATGAGTCGTTTGAAGCTTATTTCACGGCTCTTCCCTCCTCAGTAAGCAGTAATAAACGATGTGTCCTCCATATTTTGAATTTTGATTTAGGTCGTTTTTCCACTCTTGGGGTTCCATTTTGTTGTCTGTCATAGCTCAAGGCGGGTTTTATAATTTTGTACACGTCTCATTTTGACGAAATGTTTGGGTTATCACAAAGTGATTCCAAAATCTGTTATTGAAAACATTAAAAAACTGTTCAACCATACACCTTGCCTTCCCTGTCTACACGATTGAACAATAAAGAGGATGTGGTGTACCAGTTTCAATTAAAATTTCGCGCTGAGAGACAAAAAACAAAGCCGCGAAAGTGCACCTGAATAATTTGAATTTGAAAAATAAATTACGAAAAATCGAACTTAGGCAGCCATGTGTAGAGATCTTCAGTAAGGTAGACCGTCTAACCAGATAATTAGTGAATGTCACTCTTTTAACTTGGTGCATGATTAGCGATTAAACCATGTGTTAGGAAATTCACTTATTCACACTTCACTCTTCTGTTAATGAAGTTACAACTAAAGTTTCTGGATGTTGTGGTGACCAAATTTGAATTAAAATTTCGCGCTGAAAAAAAAACAGCAGCGCGAAATCCATTTTGAATGATTTGAATTTGAAAAACAAAAATGAATTAAGAAAATCGTTAAACATAGGCAATCATGTGCAAGTTTAGTTCTTTTCTGGTAGTTGGTAGCTCTCTGGGTAGTATCTAGTGCAAGAGTTGGTAGAAGTTAGCTTGCTCGGTAGAGGGTTGAGATGCGATACTCTGCTCTGTGGCGGTGACTGTGGTTTGTTTGGTGTAAGTGAAAGAACGCGGTAAGATAATTAGATTACGTTTAATTGGTTTGGTAGTTTAAAAAAAGGGGGATGCCGAAAATTAATCGTATCCATGACGACGTCACAGTTTCCCCAACAAGCGTAGCTAATTCTTGCGGTTTTTCCAAGCGGAAATATGTGAATTTTCGACCGACGCCAACACGTGGTGTAGATTTGTTTTATTGTTTGTAAATTCACAGTTCATGTTAGGATTTTAATCGTCACAGGTTCTAACACAAGTTTAATAGTCATGACTTTGTTCAGATAGTGCACTGGCTAGGAGATTTCATGAGAATCACTTAGTCAGGACTCAGCCTTTGTTTATCAAGTTATAAATAAGGCTTCTGGATGCTTATACTTAAGCGTTACATTATGACACTTCTTAATTCCTCACACAAGATTGCTAATAGTTCATTTACGGCAGTTAAGTTAACCTATAGTATATTCAAGTGAAAGAGTCAGCAATAAAGACATGTGATCAGCGCGTATTCAACTGTCGACAAATTTGGGGAAGGGTTTTTCCCAAGGCAGTTTTACACTGTACCGTAACCGTCATCATGTTGGAAGTTGGAAACATTATTTTGTCAAAATCAGAACTTATTTCTCCACAGTGTAATGGGCTAGGCGCAGTAAACTTACGCGCATTCGGCTCCAGGATACTTCATGCAGCTTTCACGTGATCACTGACTATTTCATTTGACTATAACGTTGTCCCACTCAAGGAAAAGGACGGTGCACTGAGGGGCGGGGGGATTAAAATTTTTCTCCTTAGGCACTTATTATCATCACATCACATCATCGAGACATATTTCTCGCCATTTGGGAAACTATATCACCGAGACGCATATTTCTCGCAACGCGGGATGCATTTTGTGTTTATTTATCATGAGTTTTGTTTGGGATAAGCTGGGGACAATTCACGATATAAACTCTCAAAGCTAATTGTTTTAAGTAACAAGTTACTTGCATCATGGCATAATTTAACATCATGCAAATTCTTTATTTGAATCGTTGATAAAGTGTGGCATAATTTAAGATCATGTAAACTCTTTGTTTGAATCGTGGATAAAGTGGGGCAAATGTTAAACTCATGTAATTTTGTTAGCTTTGCAATTTTTCAAGTCATGCAATTTTTCTGTATCTTACAATTTTAGCCTCAGTAATTTTCTTTGCTGTATAATTTAAATTGAACGTAAATTTTTCGTGCTCTGCAGTTCCTAACTTCACGTAAATTTCTTATCTGCACAAGTTTTACTTCACACCAGATCTTTTTTTTTTATAAATTTTTGCTAGTTTTTCTGACCAAGTAAATATTTTGTTGATTAATGTTTCCATCTTATAAATTGTCTGCTGTGCAACCTTAATCTCAGATGAGAATTCTTTGCTGTTCAAAATTTTACGAGAATGTATGGCGGCTCTAAGTGTTATTTATTGCTCTTTTTGAAACTTTAATACTTGTTCAGTTGTAGTTTAATATCAGAGTTATAGAGATTGAACATTTAAATGGAATTGGGGTAAATAACACAGAAACAAGTGGCAGAAGCGGTGGGCGCGGTTCCTAGTCGAGCTGGCGGTCGCGGCATCTGCACAAAAGGATGCAGGCCTTTAATAAAAGTCAGGGGCGGTCGGGATGACGTGACGTTCGAGTTTGCGACCGTAACGGGCTGCTTGTACGGCAAGTTTCTTTGTGATAGAGGGGTGCTGTGCGGCAGTGCTTGCCGATAGAATAGAATCACCGTCGTGGGAGAGCAGCCACGACCGGGAGCCCCAAACTCCGCTCGTGCTACAACGTCCCCTATGGGTAATTGTGCTGTGCTCATTTACGGCATTTACACTTATCTAAACGCTAGTCCATTTTGAAGAAAAGGACTTTGAAAAGTTGTGGTTAAATTTATGCCCTCGTGGATTCGAAAAACCGGAGGACTTTAATGTTTTCTTACAGGTTTAATGGCTCGTTTCAGGTCTAATTATTCTCTTGCAGATTGAATAATTTTCTTGCTGATTGAAATTGAACATTTATCTTCGAAGTACGACGAAGATTTCGGAGACAGGCTGATCATAACTTTGATAGCATTGAATGTGTATTTTTTGTGATATGAAGTTGCGGTCCACGAAGAAATTTAATGCATAATTTAATCTCAAGTAAATTCTTTTTGGTTGAAATTGTTGATAGAGTGTGGCATAATTTAACATCAAGCAAATCTTTCCATTAAAAATCAACAACAAAAGGAGCGACATGATATTCCTTTTAATTTTGTATCGCATGAGGTACCTACTTCTTCGGGAGGTGCGCTCACCTTTCGGTGTGGTAACTTACGAAGCAGTGGATGATGTGGTCAGTTATGTAACAGTCCTGCGCCGAGAGAAGGACTATGTATTGTAGTTCGTGAATTTTACAACCCAATGAAAATGCGGAGAACAGACCTAGATAAGAACCACGTCGATTCCGTAACCGAGATCGATGATTTGGACTCCCGATACGGACTTTAATTCCGATTTCTGTTTTACTTTTGTGTTAAATAGGGTTCTACTTTTGTTGATTTAGATACTTGATCATGTCGTCTGCTATTCTGTCTTTGTTCCATTATATTTAGGAAATTGGGTTACACTTAGAGAGCGTTTGTAGGGTTCATTTATTACCGGGTTCCTAGAAAACTGTCTCAGATAAACAGAAAGCCACATTTTTTTCCGAGAAATACGAATTAATGTCAAGACGGAGCGACAAAAGTGATTACTTAAAGGTTGCGGGCTGACACTGATTTACGTTAAACTGAGGGCGGGAGTACCACCCAAAACTTGACAGGCAACGTCGACTCTAATTCATTTATTCACATCACTAGTGGGTGAGGCGCAAATTCATTTCCCAACTAACAGCTTTGGCCCACATTACGATTAAACTGCTTACATCATACCACCAGGTATACGCATCGTCTAGGAGCAGTAACGGAACTCGAATCACCGTATTAATATCTGGGATATTTTCTGCTGCGTTATAAATGTCGCCACGACTTAACACTTCCTGACTCTCTATGTAATGCAATCCAAATCCAAATTCGCAATGATCAACTTACCTTCGTGCCACAGAAAGGCCGCGAAAACTGCTCTGAGCGACTCTGCAACTGATGGACTCATAGCCTGCTTCGGCGGTTCCGAGCTGTGATAGCTCACTTTAGAACTTGTAGGGAGTTGCTGCAAAGTTGCCGGTGAAATGGCCCTTTTCGGTCTAGCTTTTCCTGTCGCTCTGTCCATTCGAGAAATCTTTGGTGGCATTCGTTCATCTTTGCTGCCACTTCCGATGGAAAAGTGACCCTTAATTGACGGATTGCTGCTGTTTTCGGGCGAAGTCTGAGTGCCTGTCTGAGTTAGTTTTTTCGAACTCTGGTCGGAGTCCTAAAGAACCGAATCATAAGAGGAATTATTGTAAACGAAGTGAGAAGGGCAACTTACAGTGTTTTCCTTTTTGTTTGGTGTATGTGGGGGACTGATTTCTGAACGAGTGTGTATGGAACTGCCGCTTGGACTAGGTGACAGGTCACGTGGTTGTGTTGCCTGACTTGGCGACTGAGATAAGTCACGAGTGATACTACTCACCAAAGCACTTGTGTCGGACTGGTTCGAACCTCTTCGTGCTGAAAATTCCGGACCAGTTCCAGATACTAGTTTGTGAGTTGGTAACAATGCGTAATGAAAGAGAGTTAATACGGAAGTGGTTAATATTTACCTAAAGGAGACATACCAATGCTGCGGGGTGAACCAAAAGCTTGTGGGCTACTACTTGTACTGTCATGTAGTATGTTGCTTCTAGCTACAAAATACGTTTTTCATTGGTACTACTGAGAAAGTTATTAAATCATAAAGTGGTACGTTTCAGTCACGCATTCATTACGACATGCGATTCTATAAACTGACCAAAAATCATCGTTAACCAAACATTCGTGTGAACGAAAAAAATGTTGAGTCATCTGGTGGCAGAACGTCTGCTCAAAATAAGTCAGTGTTTTCGAAAAATACTTAAGAGCAAATGTACAGATCAAGGTTTGTACTAGAGAAAAAATTATAGAAAGATGTAAACAAACATGCAAGGGGAGAAATGTTTTGGTAGGTATATAACTGGATACCTTCGAATGGCCTTAAGATCATATTCTGTACAGCATGGTTATGACCAACAGAGCAGACAACCTCTTGCCGTTCTGTAGCTAATTAAGGGACAAAAACAAACATATCTATACTAACACATCACAACAATAAAATATTGTTATACAAGCCGCAATCAAAATTCCAACTTACACGGAATAGGGACTGGACTCGAGCTGCGACTCATCGGTTTCGGCGACAAGTGACCCGTTCTCGGACTTTGCGATCTTTTCGGAGTTCCAGGTGGAGTAATACCGTTACCGTTGGAACCGTGCTCTCCGAAAGACTTGTAGTCTTTGGAGGTGGCATCGAACGAACTATCACTACAATTTACAGTTCATTAAAAAACAACAAACAAAATTTAAGTCAAGCTACGTACACTTTCATATCATCACCTTTAAACCACTTCGGCAGACTGCTCAGCTTGCCGTCTTTTCTTTCCCTTTTAGGAATCTTAGGTGATTCTGATTTTAAACTATCCCCAAAAACAAAAGGATTAGTCGACACATGATCCGCCTTTGATGTTGTCGCTGAATTTTGTAAAGACTGACTTCCAAATGAAAAATTCGGTTCGGGTGGGTTTGGCGTCGCGCTGTAAGAAAAATCAAAGCCTTTTTTTCCTAATCGTGATGGTTCCAACTCGGTCGTGACTTGAGGAAAAGTATCTTTGTCTGTTCCAGTAACATTTCCCAAGTATAGGACGTTATTTGGACCAATCGCTAACGACCACGCCTCGTGGTCGGTATTAAAACAATATTTCTCAGCGGTGGTCTTGTCGAGCAAGACCCAATAACCGTCTGGATTAACCGTGTAGTCAATTACGTTAATACGATTACCAAGAACCAGCATGCCAACAGGTGGCGCTTTCAGGCTAGGACGACTGCGAATATTATGACCGGATGCTCCGCACTTTATGACTTGATAGTTACTAGTAGAACCCCCCGGAATTTTATGTCTGAAATGTTCAATATAAATACCGTTGCGTAATTTAGAACAAAAGCAATTCACGCCAATAACACTACAAATATATTAAAAAAAAAGAGAAAAAGCTTTACGTCAATTTTCACTGCGGTACAGCATGCAGACTAAATAATTACATTTCAAAATAAACGGAAGCAGTACCCCGAAATAAATTAACAAACCTGTCATTGATTTCTGGTAACTTTCGCATTATAGTATCGCTAATCACTTGATCTAGAATTGACTTGGGTTCTTCAACCGGTAGCAGAAGAGTCTTCCCTAAATGTTGGTTGTATTGCAAACACCACGCTTCAATTATGCTAGTGTTACAGTACTGTTTTATAGTTTCTGCAGAGAGCCTCAGCCACACTCCATCATCATTATGTATCTACGTAGTACAGTTAGGTGTTAAAAATAGCGGAAACATAAAACCCAAACTCACCTCATCAATAAACGCTATAGTGCCGTTCACATGCACAATTCCTATTTGTTCGCTTTGTAATGACGGATGAGCCCTTATCCTCAGACCTGCCGAGTTCCTAGCAACAAACTTTCTCAATTTACTTGGTTGATATATGGATTTTTTAGCAGTAATTTGACTAGGCGGCGTCATTCCTTGTGGGGGTTCCTTAACTTCAACTTTAAAAGCCTCCTCCATATCGTAACCATCGATATTAACCACGATTGAATAAAATCCGACGGATGCGGGTGTCCAGGTGGCACTGTAAGTACCATCATTGTTGTGCCGCACTAACATGTTCTCGCTGGATCTCTTCACAGGTGGGCACGCATACCTTAATTCCTCAAAAGAATAATTCTGATAAGGCTGCAACAGGTGTTTGATTAAATTGATTAGCTTCATTGTGTTTTTCTAACCTTCATGACGCTAATTGAGTGGAAACACATTTTATCGCGGATAGTCGGTTCGTAAGGGTTGTGCAACGGTGGTGGAACTAGACCTCCGAAAGTCAGAGGATCAGGCTGGATCACTCTAGGTATTTTTCTGCCGGCGTCACATTCTCCTAATTCTTTCTTGTCGATTGGGATGGCCTTTACTTCGACCTTTGATGTTGAATTGAATGGTTGCATCTATTATGTAAATTTATGAGTACTTACTTTCATGTTGGTCACGTTTACTAGATCGGAGTACTGATCTCTTGTGACGACAGTTATGATGGCTGGCCAACCGCATCGTAATTCTTCTCTGGAGTAAAGCACTTGGCATTTTGACGGATCTACTCTGCTGCCTGGCTGAAGCCACTGAGCTAAGCGACCGCCACTGGAGCCGGCGACGCAACTAACGAAATCTCTCAGGAACAATCTCTCGTTGGAGTGAATACTGAAAAGTAAAATGTTCGGTTTAAGAAACGAAGACCAGGGCCGCAGTAGTTTTTTAATTACGCAATTCATTCAAAAAAAGCAAGGAAAAATTTTGCTTTTAATTCATATTACTACAATTTTCTTTCGCAATCTAAGCACAGATTTTTATGCGAAATATAGTAATTATGACTATTTTGAAATTTAAAAATGGCAGTTAACACAAAAAAAATTGTAAAATTCAAGACGCAACCAGAAATACAATTTCTGATATTACATCTTTGATATTTTATACTAATAAAGAAAAAAGTAAATCATAGTTACGTGTTTTTTTGAGTATGACCATGTTTTGAGTTTTCGGAAATGATAACAGTTTCTTTTCTAACACAACGAAGTAGGTTTTATCTGTAATTTGATTTGTATAACAAATAACAAATTTCACACTTTTATTTTTGCAAATGACTGAGATATCAACAGTGAAATATGTAAACTGAGACGCCACCATTTAAAAACTTCTTAAAACATTAAACCAAACAAGTTACATAGCAGTTGTCCAACACCGAAAAAAAAAACAAAAAAGATGCTCTTAAAAAATAGTCCTTTTTATTTGAAAATATAAAGTTAATGTGATTTCCGGAAAAACAAAATGTGGTATATTGATAGTAGTATTTTCTTTTTGCTGGTTTCTTTGTATTAATCCTTGCCAATTCTTACCTTAAGTCTTTTCAATTAACTGATCAGATATTAGAGTGGAACAGATAAACTGGGACACCCAGTGTAGGATATTTATTTTTATTTAGCAATCACGTTCACACGATCGGTCATCGCCAGTTATTTTTAGTACCATATTTTTTTTTTCAAGCGATCCTCCATTTTGTGTCAATCGATGAAAAATCTCTCAACTTAACTAGTATCATTAGTTTTTCAATAAAATTTAAAAGTGAAAGTTTTGGTAAACTATCAACGTCATAATTATGAAAAAATAAATCTTAATAAATTGTCTGTTCGAGCATCTGATGATAATAATAGCAATAATAATAACACGCCGTTGTAATTATAACGTGTCCTAAAATTATTTGGATAGAACTTCCCTTGCTCCATAGGCACAAACGAGTTCCTTAGATAAATTGTAAAAGATATGTTCTAAAATTTTATTTCTTATGACAACGCCTATACAGAGTGAGGCACTAAACGCTCGTTTCTCGGTTATTTATTATAAATAGAAAAAAAAGCCAAAACCACAGTTGTACGGTTCTTTCGGGACTGTAATCTAAAATTATGTTTAACTATACGTAGTTACCAAATATATTGATTGACCTCTTCTAAGGCAGTAGGGTTATTTTTAAAATCTTTGTTACAATATTTTGTGCAGAGCTAAATAAAGATACGCGATTTGTTGGGGTATAAATAAAATTAAATTTTCATATACAGAGTATTCATTACTTTTTTTTAATTATTACAATTTTCATATAGAATCCCCTGTATTGTACTATTGCATCCTATTCTGTTTTTCCGTTCTTTTTTTTTTGTTGTTACTAGTCACTACAATAAAGAAATACCTAAACGTTTGAACGTCAGTAAAAAAGACTTGATAATAATAATCATAGTACTATGTCAGTCACATTGGGAGCTTGTAATCGTTATGTTGGAAAGGACACATTTATCTGTTTGAATAGCCGCATTGTATTCCTAATAATAATACACTGACCGGAAAAAAAACGGCCACCCTGAAAAATTTTGCGAAACCAAACTTTAAAAGTTATTAATTTAACTAGTGATCGTTATTTTATTAAAGAACCATTTACTATTGACATATGATGTATAAATTGGCAAAAAAAAAAGAAGACAAATAAACGCAGAATTAAATTTAATTTAACAAAATAACAGAAACAGAGCGACAATTTGAGAGACGTCTGTAAGAGTTTTCGCGTGAAAACGTTTATTAATTGCCAAATTTATAATCAAATGATGAAAAACACTGTTTACAACAACAGCCTCCTTTATTCTTTTTTTAAGAAAATATCGTACTTGGTCTGTTTCTGTTATTTTGTTAAATTAAATTTAATTCTGCGTTTATTTGTCTTCTTTTTTTTGCTAATTTGTGCATCATGTGTCAATAGTAAATGGTTCTTTAATAAAACAACGATCACTAGTAAATTAAGTGGTTTTGTGAAATTTTTCAAGATGGCCGGTTTTTTTGCAGGTCAGTGTAGCACTGTATTCTTAAATATTCGGGAAAATGATTTGATTAATAAAAAAAATCAAAGTAACTTCATGAACCACACGTACAAGAGTACGTTATTTTGTAAAAACTAAATAGCATTTACTCTGCAAAATTTTCAGATGACGTCATCATATTGTTGATGGAGATGATCACACAAATTTTGGTTAGCGTTTTACCATCTACACGTATTTATAATATGTATTGTCATGTTGACATATATGTATTTGTCTTTTGACACTTGTTCACTGTTTATAAAAAGTAATCTATTTACTCATAAAAAGACGTGTTTTGTATCGTAAACTAAGAAAAAATATGTAATTTTTTTACTACATTTCTTTTTTTTTCACATTTAACTGTACATATAAAATTTCACAAAAATGAGTTAATTATTTGATTTAGGAGATTATAGCTACATGGTGAGTCACTAAACTCGCGTTTCTCAATATTTCATTAATTATTAGAAGTAGAAAAAAAGCCAAAACCAAAGTTGTATGGTTCTTTTAAGACTATACTCTAAAATTATTTTTAACTATACGGAATGTTCTGTCTTTAAGGCGTAATACAACATCTTTTTTTTTTTTAATAAAACACCCATATATTTTTACATACTTTGATTGACCTCTTCTAAGGCAGTGTAGGGTTCTTTTTAAAATCTTTGTTACAATATTTTGTGCAGAGCTAAATAAGGTACGCGATTTTTTGGGGTATAAATAAAATAAAAGTTTCACATACAGAGTGTTCATAACTTTTCTTTAATTATTACAATTTTCAAATATTGATATTTCAGTTTTTCACACCCTGTATTTTTTTTTTTGTTGTTGTAGGTATTTTCATTGAAAGTTGATAGTTTCTGCGATTTTTTAATTTTTTAAGAGATAATTCGACATACGGTTGACTTAAAAAAAAACGGGAAAAGAAATTTCACCTAATGTGAATTGAAAATTTAATTTGTCAATTTATGTCAAATCTTGTCTATTTGACAATAGCATCTGTTAAAAAGTGACTGACATTTCTGACACATAAGTGGCAATTTTTTAACCTAAATTCTAAAAAGCCGTTTCAAACTATGAAAAATTAATAACATCTGACAGAACTTTTTGTAACATTTCCCGTTTTTTAAGGCAACCGTGTTAGAAAAATGAAAACAAAAAATAGAGTAAGACACATTAATAAAACACTGTTCTATTTGAAAAAAACTGAAATATCGATTGTTACAAATTGTGAAATTTTATAAACACTCCGTATATTTATCCTTCCACAAAATATTGTAACACAAGCTTTAAAAATACTCCTTATGCGGTTTTTTGTCTTTCACTGGCACAAAATTTCAAGAAAATTGTATTTATAAAGCATACGAAGGAGCTAATAAGAATATGTAAAAATATATAGGGTGTTTCGTTTAAAAAAATAAGTTCTGTGTTACGTCTTAAAATCAGAACACCTTGTATAGTTAAAAATAAATTAAAGGTATCGTCGTAAAAGAACCGTACAACTTTGGTGTTTGACTTTTTGTTCTATCTCTAATTAATGAGATTTTGACGACCGCGCGTTCAGTGATTCACCCTGTATATTAAAATAAAAAGTAGTAATGTATTCCCTGAATTTGAAACATTATGTAAGCCATTTTCGATTTAATCATGTGTCAGTATTGTGCAAAAATTTCAAAAAAATCCGTTTCGTAGGTTCAAAGTAAACTGGAAAATTTGTTTTACGAATTTCTTTAAAAATACTTCGCAGCTTCTAAGGTAAATTGTAAAATTTGGTAGCACTATTTATTTAATTACTTATTTCAAAAATCTACATGCATTGGCTAAAAGATCATAGGGGTGAGTTAAAAAGTCACAAATACAGGAGCATATTATTTTGCAAATTTTAAATAGAATTTACTTGAAAATTTTTGACGTGAGTTATTGGTTTTTGGTGGATAAGATGAATTTGAATAACATTTTATCATCAAGACGGTATTTTTAAATAACTTTTAAAATTTTTCAAGAATCAATTCAGTGTTTTCGGAAATTATGTCCATTAAAATCCTCAACAGACGATAAACTGACAGACGAAAACGAACGACCTACTTTTTCGTGTTATAGGAACTTTGAAATGTGGAGAAAACATAAAATGAGCGATTCGTCAAGCGAACCCTATTACAATACGCTCGGGAAGTTCCAATATGTAAATAATAATAATATCAACTATAACAATAATAAAATAAAACTATTTTTTTATTAAACTATTTCAAATTTCGCTTCTACATGATCTTATTTATGTTTTATTTGTTATTTGAATTTAGTTCCATTTTTAGATAAATCATCAGGTTGTTAAAATTGCAATTTTTATAAACTATTATTAATTTATCTAATTAATAGGATTTTTTAATGTATCGGTAATTTATTTTTTCTAAATATTTACATATCTTCGTTGGAAAAAAAGTCTTATTGATTTTAAGCTCCGTTAGAAAAAAAAAAAATGGTTTATGGTTATTTCGACAGAACTTTCCCTGCCTCTAAAATATAGTCTAATAAATTCTGCTTCTTTGAAAAATTATAAAATTTGATTTTACGAACTTTTATTTGCGATACATTAAAAAATACATAGACAACATCAGTAACAGTGTAAGAAACTAAATGACACCCTATTATATTATGTTAGAGATTCTTGTAGAGCTTGTCCTCAATTTATTAACGTATCATATTTTAATCACCCATACTTCGCCACTACCTTTGATTCGAACGCATTATGTCACCAAAATACACTTTGTTAACTTGTTTATATTTGATCTGGCGCGAGGCTCCGCCTATGTTTCTAGTGAGTTTTCCCATTTGTAAATGTTTAGATCAACATTTCATTAAGGACGTGTATGCCAATTCCGATACGTACAGTGTAATACTAATAATAAAACAACGGGGTTTACCGTTCTTAAATTCATTAATAAAAATACATATACATAATAGCAGCAGCAGTGTATGAAACAAAAAATCTCATGCGAGAATTGAATTTGCGCGACCTATATGCAATGAACTGTCGAATATCTTTGTCCGAGCTCCGCTTATATGTATTAGTATAAAATGTTGCTATACAGTTTCAATTTTTTTCCAAAATTTGGATGTCAGCGGATTCATAATCCAGAAGTACAAGACTTTACTTACATTTGATAAAATTTAAATCCTACCACTATGAAAAATTTTGAGGGAACGTCATTGCATCGTTGTTGAGGATGATTAGCGTTTTACCATCTACACGATATTTCTAACTCTAAAATTTGACAGCAGTTGGTCCAGTCGTTTCGGAGATTATCTGTATAATAAAAATCTACACAAACGGCAGATATATAGATGGAGACGGCAGACCTACTTTTTCGTACTCTTGCGGTTATGAAACGTCAATAAAACTTGAAAGTAGCCATTCACCGGATTGACCCTATTATAATACTTCCTTGGTTTACACTCGGGAGGTAAAATAATTGATTATTGATTGTTTCGGCAACATTACATTTTTATTTTCTCGAGTTACTCACACAAAACAACAAATAAGGAATAAAGCAAGGTTAACCTGTAGTTTATCAATTCACCTCTATTTTATTTTAGCATGTATAGGTTGTGGGAAACAAATAAAGTGATCATAATCAAAATTTACAATTAAAATAACCCACCTTTAATTTAAGCTTTAGTGGGTTATAGTGAAAAAAGTGTAGGGCTATTTATACAGAACCTAAGTATAGTCGAACAAAAACAATATAGCTTCTTCCAAAATTAAATTCCTCTCCTTAATATAAAAATAAGTGTGGATTATTAAAGTACAACTAAAGCAGCATACTATGCGTATGTTTCAAGTGAGTTTTTCCATAACAAAAGTTTGTGGCGACACCATCGCCATCAACATTGTAACAAGAAATGTATATCAGCTTGAATATGTGTAGTGCAATACTAAAAATACCAGTATGCTATTCTCAAATTTCAGGAAAGTGGAGTGGGCCGCTCTTAATCTGATCAATAAAAAAGTTGGAGATGCCGCGATCGAAACCGGGGCCTTTCATATGCAAAGCGAGCGCTCTACCACTGCACCAAAGGCCACGTTTCACATTACTTTCTATTATGTATCTAAGGAACAGCTTTACTTTTAAAAAGATTAAACAATACAAATTAAAATAATAATTTAAAAAATCATGGTGCATTCATAAACCACATCACAGGAGTATGTTATTATTTTAAAAAATTTAAATAGCATTTACCATGCAAAAATTTTAAGATGACGTCATCACATTGTTGATGGGGATAAAGCGGGAGACTTATCTTCAAAAGTACGTAACGAACTTCTGAATAAAGCTCAATAAGTTACGAAAAAAACAGAAATATGTACAACTCGGCATAGTAAAAATTCGGACCGGATCAAATTAATGCTTGTCATGTACAGGGTATTGGTCACGCTTCAGAGGGCAAGAGAAGCAATTTTTTTTGGTTCAGTTTCAATTATTCGATCAGATACTGAGAAAAAGAATGCTTGTTATTTTATTGTAAAGTGACCTTCTTAACACTTAAGATGCAAAATTTACATTATTACCTAACATGTATGTTTTTCATTACGACGTTTTTAAAGTAAGCACAACCTCTTCGGGCTACCTTTGGCCTTTGGCGGAACCTTAGCAGTTTGCCCCTACGTCATTGCTACTACTGTCTTGGATAGCTCATGGATCAAACGATAAAATAAAAAATAAGGGAAAACCAGATTTACATCCAACAAAAGGAAAAATTTTTGATTCTGCGGTGGCTGTGATGCAGCGAACAACAGACAAAAGAGGGTGCCATTTAAAAAATCATAGAAAGTCGAAAGCAGGTACATCCTCATAAACTTGACCACGAACCCATCGCTGATTCCTCCTTTTTCATTTATAATAAGACCAGATAAACGCGCACTAAAAACATCGTTCACGTCGTCACCTCCCTCTCGCAACGCTCATCGTACATCAACCGCACACATCCAACAAAGACGACGTCTCGCAAGACAGAGACAGCACGGACAAGGATGGTAGCCGCGAACAACACCAATTCAAAAGCGGCAGTCGCTCAGCCGCCAGCCAGAACAGTTCTATCATCCGTACTAGTTGGATGTAACACACAACGTGCAAGAAACGTCAACAAAGAAATCCAATGCAGGTTGAATCATGTTATCCGGTGTCGTAGAATCCTCGCAAGTTGCAACCGATGAACTCTCTTGTTCTTTGATTCTGTGATTGTGGTGACACAGTGCGAGAATGAGTGCACAAAATGGGTGTCCGATTGTGGCGGTCCTTCTTTGTGCTTCTGTGGGTGTATTTTTTTGTGATATGGTCCGCTAGTGCCGATACGATATGTGACTTGCAGGGATGCAATTGTACCGTAAAGGTCGCCTCTTGGAAGACCATTAATTGCACTTTGCGCGATGTTCAGGCAAGTTGGCTTTGAATAAAATTATACTAACAATCAAAGTCTTGCATTTCTATCGTACTAACAATTAATTCCTTTCCCTTTGGCAGTGGCTGGAAGTGCGTATGTGTATTTATAATATCGTAGTATTGTGTGTGTAGAAAGGACACTTGTATAGAACATGTGATTAATTATTATTTATTATTGTATTATACTAAAAGCATCTGCGTTTCGATGTATTTATTGTATCTGTTCGTCTGGTGTAATTATGCAAAGAGCTAGTCCGGCTCCACGCTTATCAAATTCGCCATTTATATACTCAGTAAAATTTTCAAAAAACATGGCCAACTATGTATACGTATTTTTTTAACATAAAAAAAAGTTGCAAAACTGGGAATATATTCCTGGCTTGGCTATTTCCGAGTTATTCTTACTACTTTTTTTTGAATCGTGCTGTCTCACACGAAAGCTTTGGTAATCAGTTTTTTATCTTTGCGCTTAAAGTCAACTGGAAGGACAATATTTCTCTTAGGATAATATTAACTAAAAATGAATCATATTAGTTTGAATAGTAGTAACTGATAATGTCTCAATGTTAATAGCTTCATAAGTTAACTATTACTACAACCAAATTTAAATAACGAATAGAAAGTACATTGGTTTAAATTAAGTGCTTACTTGCCTTCATATATGTTTCAAATTCCACATTATCTTAGCAGGAAATATTTCGAGCATTAATTTAGTTACTTAATAAAACTATCTCTCTATTATTGTCTGATTATTTTTATTATCACACTTTTATACAGGCTGGGTCACCAAGCGTGTGTTTGTCGATTCTTCATTAATGATTGAAAATAGAAAAAAAAACTTCTTTGAACATCATACATTAAATTATTTTCAACTATACAGAGTGTTTTGTTTTTTGTACGTTTTTTCATTGGCGTCTTTTTAAAACCGTAGTTTATTTTTAAAATCCCTATGCGACGTCTCCAAGTCATTATAATTTTCGTATTTTATAAATTAAAGTTTTCTTATTATGAGAAATTAAAAATTTACCACCCACACTTCCATGTCCATTTGAGAGTGGTTCTTTCAATCAACTCACTTGAGATCAACTCTCGGAGGTCGCGCTGATCTCTCAGAGAGCGAACAGTTGAGACTTGCTTTTCATGCATGCATATATGGGACAGCGGCTCTCACAATACGAACAAGTTTGGACGTGTGAGTATGCCCTCGCACAGAAAATACAAGTCATCGTGGCAAAGCATGAATGGACGAACGATTAAATTGCTGATCCAATTGCAATTTACAAAGAAAAGACTATAGAAACCGTGAAAGAAAACAGAAAGTGCGGAAAGAAATTACCGGCAATTTGAACCGTGATTCGGAAGATGTTCAAAGCAATTGATAATTTGTTCAACCATATAAAATTGTACCGTGTGTACCAGTTAACAGTTATTTGATAAGTCGGAAATATAGAACGGTTAAGAAATAAATCAAGTGTCAAGTGATAACATAATAGCATTACATCACTTTCGGTTTTTCGGAAATGATAGCAACTTTTTCGTTTCAAATAGAATCTATTGTTTTTTAAATGCGTTAAATGCAGCACTTTCTTTCGTAGTGCATATAGTATTTGATCTGTAACTTGTTAGTGTCAAAAAAAAAATTAAAATATCTCAATTATTTGCATAGATGAAAGTTAAAAATTTCAAAGTTAAAAATTTCAAAATAGCAAAGCAACACAAAACAAAATGCAAAATGTAGTAGGAATGTTTTAAACTATATTTTTTCTCTTGTAATAATAACAGCTAAAAGTTTCTGTTTCTAATAACAAGCGTGAGTTCAAGTGATTATGTTTATAGATCGAAAGAATGTCACGTAGAAATCCAACAAAATGTTCTAAATATTATAATTCTTATTTTATCATTATTAGAATAATTGTAAAAAAAGACGCGCGTATTTTCGAGAAAATGGGGTGACTCGTTCTTAATTTATTCATTAAATAATTTGTGATGACGTCATCAACATAGATAATACTAGTCATAGTACCAAAAAAAAAAAAAACCGGCCAAGTTTGGCCTCCAACGTGCAACCGCCTGTCTGCATGCTGATCCGTTACCCACTACCCTACGAACGGTTAGTGCTAAAATGCTATTATACTGTGTTAATTTTTTTGCGAAAATTTGGACGTTTAGGAAAAAAACTCGAAAGGATTCGTACACCACGGTATATTGTTGTATAACATTTAAATAATTTCAAAACAGAATTCTTTGAGATGACGTTATTAAATTGTTGGTGGGGATGATTAGCCAAATTTGACAACAATCGGTCCAGTAGTGTCGGAGATTACGTGTCTAATAAAAATCGACACAGACGCCAGACAGACAGACAGACGAAAACGGGAGATCACTTTTTTCGTACTCTAGGGGTCAAAAATCGTTGAAAAAACATGAAACTGGCAACTGTCTGGTTTCGACAACTTTTTAAAACTATCTGAGAGTCAACTTCACCGAAGTATTTCTCAAAAGGACAAATGCTTGAGAGTAAATGTCCAAAGTAACTTTTACGAGTTGCTAACTAATAGACACGTATTTTTAGATGTGGAATATTGAAATAGCACAAAAGAAAACATTGATATGTTCTGAAGTGACATGTATTTAATGTGTCTTAACGGAATTTTGTGGAGAAGTGGAATAAATTTTGTTATCTAATTACCTAATTTATTTTAATGTCCTTACATGTGAGCTGATAGGATTACAGAGTAGGTTTTTCGTTTTTGTCGAATCTTCAAAACTATTGTACTAATTGTCGAAAAATTTTGGATGATTGTTAAAAATATCGTGTAGTTGGTAAAACGCTAACCGCAATTTGTCTGATTATCCCCACAAAAATTTGATGACGTCATGTTAAAAAATTTCTAAGTAAATCGTATTTAAATTAGCAAAATAAAATGCTTCTGTCTTATCAATCATTTACTATTTTTATTTAATCTTATCTTAGTTTTGTTCTTTGGAATTATATAAATAGTGTTTAAAAACATTTAATCGTTTGATGTAATTTTCTTAAAATTTTGTTTTATCTCACAAGTGTTATCAAATATATAATATAAAAAAAAATCTTTACCACCAACTATTATAATTTCTCTAAGAAACAGCATTTTTTGATGTGTTTGAGGGGCGAAGGAAGTTATGTTAAACTTTTTTACTTGCCAAGCCTAAGCTAAGAATGTATTGTAATATGATCTATATCGGGCGAATGAGGCTACTTTCATGTTTTCTCGACGCTTTATGATCCCAAGAGTACGAACAAATAGGACCCCCGTTTCCATCTGTCTCTCTCTCTGTCTACCGTCTGTCCAGACTTTTGTTGCACAGATAATCTCCGGACCGATTGTCAAATTCTATGTGCATGGAAGGAATATCGTGTAAAGGCTAACCAAAATTTGTTTGATTATCCACACTAACACTGATGACGTCACTTTAAAATTTTCCTTGTCCAACACCGTTTAAATTAAAAAAACATATATATACTCCTGTACTTGTAGCTTATGAGTCCACTTCGATTTTGCACATTATTATCATCTTTATGGCTTCTTGTCACACCTGATTTTAATAATAAGAAATAAAATTCCCAAAATAAAATTTTATGATTTTTCGAAGAAATTGTATTTGTTCAACTGTACTTCAGGAGCGAGGGAAGTTCTGCTCAAGTAATCCTGGACTTTTTTTAATTTACATTTCACATATTGTGAGAGCAATAAAAGTGAGTAACTATATTTCCAAATATTTGTAGACATACCATAACATTAATCTTCCTCAATGGGCAATTGCAGAACAATTTAAAGTTGTTTTAAAGTCAATTTAGACTTTATACACGAGTTGTGGTAGTCCAAAGACATCCAAACTACTGTAAAATAATTATTTTAACATAAAAAGTTGTTTCAGAAAATTTGTTAAACGACGTAATTTTTTTGAAGAAAAAATTTCTGTATTATCGTTTTAAGAAGAAAAAATAAACAATTCGATACACGTTGGGAAACACACTATAAATTTAAAACAAGAACTAAAAATTTAAAATATTTTATTGAAGTTCGTATAATATGCTATTTGTGAAGCTGCTTTAATTGTAGCAAGGCGTCTAAAAATAGATAAATAATAACCTTTTCCCTATTTAGAAAAGTGTTTTTGCACGTGTGTCGAAATGACCTGTAAAATTAACACGAACCTTAACATTAAAAAAGTTATTTGAAATTTTTGCGTCAAAATTCTACAAGAAAGTAAAAGAAATCAAGGTAATTAATTAAATTTTGACTTTAACAATACTCGTAATTTTTTTTAGGCGTGATTAATTGAAAAATATTTGGTTGATAAATTTGTGGAGGTGTTAATAAATCTCTCTTCATTTACTTTCTAAAAAATAAATAACAAATGAAACGTACAAAATCGTTTCACGTTTGTTACAAAGGAAAAACACAGGAAGCAAATATTTCGTTGGGGCTTGAATCATAGGTCGCCTACGGTGTCGACGCATCTGAATCAAACTAAATATACATGTTTTTTATAGGTGAATATTTTTTGAGAGTGAATCAGTCCTGTCGAGTTCTACAATGTAGTGTTTTTATCAACATAAAAGATTCCAACGCAACAAAATTAGTAGGAGTGCACTTTGAAAGTAGGAAAGGCGACCATTTGAATAATAATGCTAGAAACTAGACAAGAGCCGGACGCGATGTATATCGTTATTTGTTTTGGTTCTTTTCCCTTGTTATTAATACTGGAACCTCACAAACATGTGCCAGTTTGTTGGAACAGCCCGACTGTGCTGACTCACAACAATAAGCCGCCGAAAGTAAAAGTCAAAAATATTACAAACTACCCAAAATTACCGACGCGACAATCATTAACGAGCTACATGTTTGATCACCAGTAGTGAAAGCAAAGTACAAAATGATGTTGAATATATGCAGCAATTAATTATTCGCACAAGCGGACTAGTTGTTGCCATTTATGAAGAAGAAAGAG